CGATTATTTTGGAGATGCGTTCCAATATAATTTATCCTTATTTAGGGTATAGGCCTATTCTATTTTGAGCTGCAGTTTAATAAACGTTAAACAGAAAAAAGACAAAAAGTAGCACTGCATGTGTTTCTGAATACTTATTTAAACAGACTGTATAATGATGAAAAACCACAAACACCAAAATAACAGCAAAGCTAATGTTTTCTGTTAGTTTAAGCACAAACTAAGAAAAGTAAAACCAAACTTTGTGGCAATAATTAAGACCAACTGAACATGGGGCGGGGCGTGGTGGAGGTGGGGCTTAGGTAGACGATATTATCGGATATCACGATATTTTATTTATCACGATACACAGCCCTAGCTTCCACTCAAAAAAGGCATTTTCAAAATGATATAATAAATGATCAGTGGGGTATTTTGAGCTGAAACTTCACAGACACATTCTGGGGACACCAGAGACTTATATTACATCTTGTAAAAAGGGGCATAATGTGTCACCTTTAAGGGATAGTTCACCCAAAAATGAAAATTCTGTCTTTATTTACTCACATTCATGCTGTTTCAAACCTGTATGAATTTCTTTAATCTGCTGAACATAAAAGCAGATATTTTGAAGAATGTTGGTAAACAAACAGTTGCCAGTTCCCATTGACTTTCATAGTATTTTTCCCCCATACAATTCAATAGGGACCATCAACTGTTTGGTTACTAAGATTCTTCAAAATATCTTGTTTTATGTTTCACAGAAGTAAGAACCCGATTATCGATACGATATTTTTGACATATCGCCCAGCCCTACTTTACAGTTGCCAAAAATATAACTTCTGTCAGGACCGCTATTGTCAAAATGATAGATACTTAGCATAAAGTTTGGTTTGGCGGTATAGTTCTGTTCTGGACAAAAACCTCCCTGCCCATCCATGCAGCCTGTCATGAATGAGCAGGGAGAGCAGCAAGTTTTTTTTGTTATTAAAAAAAATAAGCAAGCCCAGCTTATGTGACAAAAAGTAACAATGCATTACCTTCCATAAAAAGTAACAAAGTAACGCAATTAGTTACTTTTTTATGGAGTAATGCAATATTGTAATGCATTAGTTCCAAAACTTACTTTCCCCAAAACTGGTCATGAAAGTGTCTCTGTTTAAGTATACTTAAGTAGCTTTTTATTTCATTAATATTATAATATCTGAAATTATTTTTTTTAAACACTTTTAACAATGGAAGTACACTTCAAGTGCACATCCAATACAACTTTGCACTTCTTTTTCACAAGGGCTTGTGAGGTTGAAGCGGTTCATACAACCAGCAGACTATGACACATTAACAGCATTTTCAATTAAAGCGACGGCAAACATGAATTTATGAAGCTCACTAGAATGAGTGTGAGTGCTCAGAGGAGATGTGCCACCTGACAGACTGAAACTGAGAGGGGAAAAAAAGCCCTGACATGAACTTTGATTGGATAAATAAAAAATGTCAGGATAAGAGACAGTCATATATTAATAAAGACAGCGGTTATTAATGTCCTGACCAAACAGCATGTCTTATCTATTATTCATGCATTCATGCTTTTCACTTTAACGTGGAGTAAATACCAATCTACTTAAGCACTGCATAATTACTGTATTAGTATACTGCAACATATTGCTACTGCTCTACAATGCATGCAATTATCTAAGGTTTATTGTATGTTTGCATACAATTTATACTGTATTTGCTAAATATGATCTCATCAGATAATCATACTGTAAAAGAGTTGATTCACTTGATGTTCAAAACCTGAATGACCTTCTTTCTTCTGTGGAACTTTAAAAATATTTTGAACCAATATTCCGTTGGTAACCAATCAGTTTTGCTAAGCATTGACTTCCATTGTATGAGCAAAACATTTCTTGAAAAAGTCTTCTTGTCACACAGAGGAAATTCATTCATACAGTTTTGGAACATCATAAGGGAACACCATGAGCTTTTATTTTGGAGGGTTGCTGACAAGTAAGTATAAGCGCTGTCAGTTTCAGCGCATCAGTGAGTGAAATGTCACAGTTTTGCATTTTCCTGGCAGCACGTAGCCTAGATTTAATCTCTCAGTTTGAATGGAAATCTTATACAATATTAGAGTTAATACAGTATGTGAGCACACAGAGTAGGAGAGAAGCAAATAAATGTAAAAGGCTGACACTAGGCAGAATGTATACGACAGTATATAATTAGCGTATGACGTTATCTAGAGACATTTAGCAACTTTTCGAGCAGGCCTTAGCTGTTTTCCATTGAATGAATTTGGCAGCAGTGGTTTAGTCTGTGGTCATAATCTATGACATGACCTCATTTACACATCAAGTTAAACATGTATTTGTTGTCTTACTTTCGGTTCTGTCACCCAGCAGCTTCTCATCAGACAGGCGAAACTGGCAGGGCAGCTACTGGGAATCGTCAGCCTCTGCAAAACACACATGAAACATGTCATAAATAATCAGAGTCAGAACTGCTGAAGACACTTCATCGGTCACACAGCCTTTACCTCGCTCTTCTCCACCACCAGCCAGGCCACCTGCAACCCCTCCAGACCTTTGAAGGGAACTTCACGAGTCAACATCTCCCAGAGGACCTGAAAGAAACACACTTATGATTCACAGCTGTATGATAAAGAGAGATCTGTGCCAGCAGACTCAATGCATCAAACAACTGACTGCACAGTGCAACCACACACTGAAAATTATACTTTGGACCAAAAAAAAAAATTATAAAAAAAGTTTTACAGCCAAATTTATTAGTTTTTCTCAAATTATATTGATGTTTGGTTCAAACCTTAAATTTTGATGTAATATTAATCAAAACATAATTTTTCAAAAGAAATAAAAAACATTCATAGAAAGTAAAAAGGTCATTTATTGTAAAGACCATAAATCATATTTATAGCCATAAGCCTTAATGCAGGACAATACAATATTTTTTGCCTTTTTACACCTTTTACAACCATAAAAAAGGCTAAATTATATATTATCACTTAAGATAAATCTAAAAATGTGTTGTTAGTCAATGTTTAATTCAGTTTATTTACTAAGTAAAGACAACTTTGAAAGTCCTTAATGTTTATTGAGATTTTTTTTTCTTTTTTTTTTTTTAAATATGTTATATGGACTATCAAATAATAATATTAATGATAATAATAAAATTAAAATGTAGCTAGTATGTGTTCTTCACATCATTACTCTGGTGTCAAGCAAAAATACTATTTAAACAAAATAAAAAAAATAAAAAACAGGTGTAAATCAGAAACCACGAGTTTCAATTTAAATAAATAAATGAGACGGTCGTTTCACGTTTTTCAGTGCTTGCAGCTAGAAGCATCACGGTGACGTTCGCACACTCACCACCCCGTACGAGTACGCGTCGCAGGTCTCAGACACAGGAAGGCTCTGGATGACTTCAGGGGCCATCCAGGGAAACGTGCCCACCAGAGACATGTGGGTGGTGTGAGAATGAAACTTAGACGCCCCGAAATCACAGATCTGAGGACATGAAGAGCCCAATTAACTAGCAGGTCGATTTTTCATCTTTGACTAATAACATATAGACAGCTTGGTTCTGTTTGTATGAACAGACAGTCATCATGTACCTTGGGTACTGCATCTGCCGTCAACACAACTGGAATGAAAACACAGAGGTGGTCAGGCCAAAGAAAATATAGCATCAAATATATAGAGAGAGAACTGTTATACCATTTCGGGACTTGAGGTCTCTGTGAATGACTGTAAACGGGGCCTCAGCGTGCAGATAATGCATGCCTATGAGAGAAAACACACAAATTGAGAGAGTTTGATTTTGAAATAGTAATTATTTTACTGAAGGAATGGGACATATGTTGCTTCTCCTGTTTCTCAGTGTGTAGAAACACACAGGAAATGTGTTTACAGTAGTGTGCTTACAACGGAGGCCTAGCAGGCATGTTTAAACGCTAAAATGTCAAGCTTGTGTTCTTGTTAGTGTGCTTCTATAATGTCCTTTTCTAGGCAGACAAACTTGTGGTTAAACATTACGCTTTCAATTCTTGTCTGGTGTTGTTTGCTCCGTGTAAACAGTGATTTATGAATACAGATTGAAAGCAAACGGGTCCCTTTCTCGCAGATTTGAAAGATCAGATATAACAAGATTGGTAACTGATTATATCACACCAGTGTCATATTACCATGTGTAATGTTCACCCAAACACGGCAACATATTTCACTCGAGTATGTGAAGGCAAATTCATGAGTTTCTTCAAGAGGCACATGCATGAATGTAAACAGTTTGTTTTCTCTCACAGGTCAAGTCTGGTCAGAGAAACAGCTGGAAGTTAAAGTTAGTTAAACTGTAATAATGTTTACAGCCCTGCTGGCCTTAACTGGTTTAAGCTGGTCAGAGTGGTTGTTCAGATGGTTTGCCAGTCTAAGCAGCACCAGAAACCCCACCAAAATCATAAAAACACAGCAGCATGACCAGGATGGGAGGCCTGGTCTCCTCTAAGTACGAACCGCACGCTTGTATGTTCCTGTCCTTATTAGGGATGTGCGAGACTTGCCAACTAAATCTTGAAATCTGAAACATTTTGTGTCAACACAAAGTACTAGTACTGTCAAACTAGTATATAACAATTAAGCTTATTGTATGGGCTTGTTATTCTACCGATCATATCTTTTTAAAAAAAGAGAAACATTATGAATGAAACTTACCCGACAACAACAGATCCTATATCAAAATCCTAATGAATAGAATACCATTAAATAATGTGATTTTGCCACCTGTCATGTGTAGACACTTTCAACAATTACAACAATGTGCTAACTAACATTTATTTGACACATTTTGTTTATAATAGTGGGTTTCTACTTATTATTCCAGTAATGCCTACTGATTCAGCTTATTTTAATAAATGTATCTATAGTAGCAGGGTTGGGGAGTAACGGAATACATGTAACAGCGTTACGTAATCAGGATACAAAAATCTAGTAACTGTAATCCGTTACAGTTACATTACAAAACAAAGTGTTCAGATTACAGTTACATTTTGTAAAAAGTGGGAATACTATCAGGATTACATTTGTTTCATTTAAAATTAAATAAAATAAATTTGACATAATAACGCTATATTTAGCGCTGCTTCATCATAGTTCCTGGTTCTGTTGACACATGTGAGCTGCCTGCTGGTGTGTGCGATTCTACAATTATTCTCCTCAAACGCGGGATGAGACGCTGCTAGGAAAAACGTTTTCATGTCTGGAAATTTCACAGCTATATTGTTTTCAAAGAGGATAAAGGGAATATGCATGAAGACTCTTGCTTTCAAGTCTCTAAATTATATTATTAAATACTATTAAATTAATATTATTAATATTAATAAATTATTTTTTATTTAATAAAATACTGTTTTAAATAAAAAAATAAAATAAAAAAGTAAAAGCATGTCACACTACACAACGTGTTCCCAAAAGAATGCAAACTACACAAATGTAGAGACATACCACTAACATTTGTGACCCTGGACCACAAAACCAGTCATAAGGGTCAATTTTTTGAAATTGAGATTTATACAT